ATTATTATTATTATTATTATTATTATTATTATTATTATTATTATTATCACTATCACTATCACTATCACTATCACTATCACTATCACTATCACCACTATCACTATCATTTCCCACCGATTCTTCCCGTATAGATACAGCTAAACATTCTTTTCCAGTTTTGGGTTGTCCACCTGCCAGGTGTGACAAAACTCCTCTCTTGGGTATGGCAGCATAAATAAATAAATAAACAAATAAATGAACCGTTAATGCATAATCTGCACAGACAATTGGTTTTTTTGGGGGGAGGGGGTTGTTTTCCCCAAGATCTCATTCATTAAAAAGCCTTTTTTTAATTGCAGGGACATAATGGGTGAAAATTAGGATTAAAAACAAAACAAAACCATTCTGCCCCAGTTATCGGGTGATTTTTCTGCTTTGTTATCTTGATCTGGAAAATCAGAAGTGTGGAACACTTTTGCTGGAGGGGAGGGAAGCTTAGCTGTCAAGTCACCTCCAAACCAGGGGTCTTCCAACCTTGGCCACTTTAAGCCTGGAGGCTCCCAACTGGGGAATTCTGGGAGTTGAAGTCCTCCAGGCTTAAAGTGGCCAAAGTTGGAAGACCCCTGCTCCAAACTGAAGGGGTCCTTAGTGCTCTCTGAGCTGGCTTGTTTTCTTGCAGACGTTTCATTAGCAATAGCACGTAGACCTGTGATGGTGAACCTATGGCATGCGTGCCACAGGTGGCACGCAGAGCCATTTGTACTGGCACACGAGCTGCAGGCAAACTTACCTCACTGTGCATGCGCGTGCCTCACAGCTGATTTTCAGCCAGCTTCAGGCCTTTTTTGGACTCCCAGAGGCTTGAGGAAGGCTTCTGTAGGCTTCTTCAGGCTGAAAACTAGGCCAGGAAATACCGGAAGTGACAAAACGGGCCTAGTTTTTGGCCTGAAAAGCTGGCAGAAGCCTTCCTCAAGCCTCTGGGAGGCCGAAAAAGGCCTCAAACTGACTGAAAATCAGCTGTGAGGTGCAGTGCAGGTAAGGGGATGGCGGGTGGGTGAGTGGGGATTGCACGCACATGCATAGGTGGTGTGGGGTGGGGGCACATTGCCTTCTGGGTGCTGGCACGCGAGTGCGAGCGTGCAAATGCGCACACAATTTTTGCCACAGGAGCCCAGAAAGGTTAGGCACCACTGACTTAGGCCAAGGGTCTTCAAACGTGGCAAGTTTAAGACTTGTGGACTTCAACTCCCAGAATCCCTGAGCTAACAGGAGTGTAGGAGGAATTCTGGGAGTTGAGGTCCACAAGTCTTAAAGCTGTCACATTTGAAGACCCCTGACTTAGACTTATATACCGCTTCACAGTGCTTTACTGCCCTCTCTAAGTGGTTTTACAGAGTCGGCATATTGCCCCCAACAATCTGGGCCCTCATTTTACCGACCATGGAAGGCTGAGTCAACCTTGAGCCTGGTGGGATTTGATCTGCCAAATTGCAGGCAGCTGGCTGTCGGCAGAAGTAGTTTGCAGTACTGCATTCTTATCACTGCGCCATGAAGGCTCTTACCCAAGCTATTATTTTTAATAGGTTTTTTTTTTATTTTTAATATTTTCACTTTTATGACCATTGCAGCATCCCCATGGTCACATGATTTACATTTGGATGCTTGGCAACTGATTCACATTTATGACGTTCGCCGTGTCCCGGGGTCATACGATCCCCCTTTTGTGACCTTCTGACAAGCAAAGTCAATGGGGAAACCAGAGTCACTTCAACAACCCTGTGACTAATTTAACAATTGCAATGATTCATTTAACAGATATGGCAAGAAAAAGCTGTAAAACGGGGCAAGGCTCACTTAACAAATTTCTCACAATATACATTTTGGGCTCAATTGTGGTCATAAGTTGAGGACTACCTGTATACAATATAATGAAGGCAAACCTCTGAACTCAATTTTTCACTCTTGAGACCCCAATCCTGCCACTTCCAAGTATGTGTGTGTGTGTGTATTTTCCCAAATTTTGTTCTATTGTACTTTACTAATTTATTAATTTTTTCTTTTTATTGTTTTTTCTTTTTTGTTTTAAATATGGTTTTACATTGTGTAAGCCTCGAGTTGCCATGGGCGAATATATATATATGGCATCTTAAGAGCACTATCTCTTCACAAGAGATCCCCAGAAGTTTTGGAGGGTATAGTTATTTCCAATTCTTGAATAATTACCTCAGTATTCTTTGTATATTGACGTATTTGCTTGCAAATGTTGGAATAGCTTTTAGTCCTGTCATTTTCTATTTTTCAGTGCAGGTAGCAAGAGGAAATTCTATCAATTCTATGAAAGACGACAATTAGACATTTTTGGATGCTTCACTGCTTTCCTTCCAAGCAGTTTTGTTGAACGATTCTTTTAGGCTGTTGATGCTGGAAAGATCCAAAAAGACTTCTGCAGTGGTCCTCCAGGATTGATGCTGAAAAAGAGGAAGGAAAAATAAAACAAATCAAAGTTTCTGTGGAGGAAATGGCCGTCGCACACAAAACAGAGGCAACCAAGTGCCTCCTAAAAGAAAATGTTGATCCGGAAATCAAAATGGAGGCGCAATGTTCCTCGGGCCTTCAATCCGGAGAAGGAAAGAAAAGAGAAGATTTCCCAGAAACTGGGAAGATTAAGCAGGAGTTTATCCATCACGTGAAACAAGAGCCAGAAGAAGGGCCCTCTGGAAATTGGGACGCCCAGCTGCAAGAGTTTCTGAAGACGCTGCAGTCTCCCGATTATGGCAGAGAAAGCCCTTCACTGGCCTGGAATGACCCTAAATCCACTCAGGTGCTCTCTCAAAGGATGAGGGATGCCAGCAACTGTCCCAGAGGCGTTTGGGTGGCTCCGGCCCAGCCGCACCTGGCTGTTGAAGCCCAGCGGGAGTATGAGAGTTCTCAGGAAGCCGCATCCGGCGGGAAGGGGCAGAAGGGGGCGGTGAGTGGGCCCGGGGCCAAGCTGGAGAAACACCGCCAGCAGTTCCGGGAGCTGTGTTACCAAGAGGCCGAAGGGCCTCGCAAACTCTGCAGGCACCTCCAGGAACTTTGCCACGAGTGGCTGAAGCCAGAGAAACACACCAAGGACCAGATCCTGGATTTGGTGACGTTGGAGCAGTTCTTGGCCATCCTGCCTTCGGATATGCAGAGCTGGCTGAGAGAAAACATGCCGAGGACCTGCACTCAGGCCGTGTCCCTGGCAGAGGAGTTCATCGTGAGGCAGCAGGTCAAAGGCTGGAGCAAGCAGGTGAGACTCTGGATAAAGGCGACCTTGAAAGACTGTTGCGGGGGCGACGCACAAAATCTTCTGTGTGAATGACATGCCCTGCAGTTTTAGCTAACATATATATATGTTGTGGCTCCGGGTTTGGATTCTGATCCTGTGGCAGATATGAGTTCAAGTGAGGAAGACATGGCAGAGAAATATGAACCGGCATTGCTGAGTGATTGGAATAGTAACCAGGATGAGGAGATGGAGGTAACAAGGGATGACAGACCTGAAATATTAGAGTAGTCAGAACCTTCGACCTCCTCTGATGCTTTATCTAATCAGCAGCCGGGAATGGATGACAGGGAAGGAAGGAGGGAGTTTTCCAGCGGAGATGAGAATCTGGAAAACTTATGGTTAGATGTTAGGAACAGGAGACGACTAAGGAGACAAACCCAGTTAGAAAGAAAGAGAAGAGCGAGCCAATAATTAGGGTAATTAGCACGTGGCTTAAGTATAAAAGGACACAGCTGGCCTGGTGGAATTCGCCAGAAGCAAAGTGACTTATTGAGTGAGGACGTTACAGCAAGAAGCTCTGAGGCTTGAGATTTATTGCCAAGACTGGCTTGCCGGACAGAGTAAAGATTTATGCTGTGGATTGGGATTTCTGCCAGCCGTTATCTTGTGAGACTTTATTCTGTTTGAATTACTTATGAAACGGCTGCTTTCTGTTTTGCTCGCCTCACGCCTGTGAGGAAAGGAACCAGGTCCATGTTGAAATTCTTGCTGTGTCCCCTCCATGGAAGAAGCTTGCAAGCAGCCTATTTTTTTTCCTCCCCAAGTTTTGTGTTTAATCCTTTCAGCCAGGGTTTCCCAAGTTTGGCAACTCAAGAGAAGTGGACTACAATTCCCAGCATTATCCAGGTACCCTGATGGCTAGAGATTTGGGGAATTGAAATCCATACAACTTAAAGCAAGGTTGAGCAACATTGCAATTAAACTACGGTACTCTGAGATAACTTTGCAATTATAAGTCCATGAATGAGTTTATTCCCTTCCTGTCCCATTGTCTCAACATCTGTTTCCCCTTTGCTGCTCCAGATGATGGGGATGATGGAGGGGGAATCTGAAAAGCCCCCCAAAGGAAACCAAGCTCTGTCGGAAATGGTGAAGGCACAGCTTTTTAGAGAAGCCAAGCAGGAAGCTGGAGAGAATGCAGGCTCAGTGGGTAAGTCACTTTGAGCACCCAGCAGATCAAATATTAGGGGCTTCTTTGGACTCTTCTGCATGGCAGCTTTTGTCAGGGTAGTGATTTAAGAGCTGGCCAGTTGATGCAATGATGTAATGATGGGAATGAGTCAACAGTGTTTTTTTGGCTGTTATCCCTTTAAGAGTCTGTATAATAAGAGGCCCTGTTAGGGCATCTCTCTCTCTCTCTCTCTCTCTCTCTCTCTTGCTGTGTGTTCTTCCCTGCTGTAATTGCTGCTTGTTTGACTTCTGCCTGTAGTACGTGTATGTATAGTATATATTCTTTTGTAGCTAAAACCACTATTTATTACAAACCTCTGTCTGCTATTATTGCTCCTCGGTTGTCTCACGTAGTAAAGCTGTGCGCACTCTTATAGCTTTAAGCTGCTTGTCTCCAATAGCTGATACCAGTTGGCAATGGCACCTTCAACGTTATCTAGTGCAGGGGACCCAAACCCCTGATCCATGGACCAACACCAGTCCACGGCATGCCAGAAACCGGGCCGCACAAACAAGCAATAGCACTTAGACTTATATACCGCTTCATAGTGCATTACAGTCCTCTCTAAGCGGTTTACAGAGTCAGCATACTGCTCTCCCAACAATCTGGATCCTCATTTTACCCACTTTAGAAGGATGGAAGGCCAAGTCAATCTTGAGCCGGTCAGACTCAAACTGCTGGCAGCCGGCAGTCAGCAGAAGTAGCCTGCAGTACTGCCTTCTAACCATTCTGCCGCCACAAAGCCCCATCTGCAGGATGAAGGCAGCACGCGAGACCAGCTCCCCCTCCAGCCTGTGGAAAAACCTCACTCCACCGAACCGGTCCCTGGTGCCCAAAATGTTAGGGGCCACTGATCCATAGTTTCTCAACTTGGGCAACTTTAAGATGGGTTATGTCGTGGCTTCTCCCCTTAAACATTCTAGTGTTCCCACCCCCTAAAAGAGAATGTGAAACGGAGAAAGTAAGAGTGGGTAACCCTACAAAAAAGGATTGTTGTGGTGGCGTTATCAAAGAAGTAGGAAGCCTCACAGGAGAACATGTTATATTATTTCCAAAACATATCCCCGATTGGAAAAACGAGCCTGAATAACGAAAGATTGTCCTCTTTTTGTAATACAAGGCTTTTTAACCTTCAAAATACTCTCTTGACTACTAGCTAGTCTGTTAGAGTTTGCAGCAGAAATTCAATTCCAGAAAACACACAGATGACGGATTCGGCAGGATCATTAACTTCTCTATAAACCTATTAACATGAGTAAAGTTTACAATACCATTTGTAGATTCTTTCCACATAACATAAGCAAAACAAGCAGCAGCAGTTCAGAGCAGATATCAGTTTCAGCAAGCAAGCAAGACTAGTGTCAGGTCCCTGACAGAGTCTGAATCCGAGGAAGACAAAACAGCTGACGGGGTGGGAGTGTGGCTCCGTTGGCTGTGGAGGAGGCTGGGGAAGGGCAAAATCTGGCTGGGCAGAGCAGGGGGAGTTAGAACAAAGGAGAGTGAGTTCAGAGGAAGACCCAGGCCCAACTCCTCTTCATCCTATATGGCACACAGGGAGGAACGGAGAATAGAGCAACGTGGGTTGCATGGCTTACGGGGGAGGAAAGGGCCCTGATTCCCTTCATTAGCCACATCCAGGAATGAAAGTTTATAAGAACTGAATGGTGACTGGCAGCTGCTGGGAGCAAACTTGACTTTATCCAGTGTTGTCTTTGCTTATCTGTGTTCCTGGCGTCTTTCCAATCGTGTGAGTTTTGCCATCACATCTGCCAAATTAATTACCTCAGTTTGGCTTGATTGGACTTAAAGTTACAGTTTTTGTTGACCATGTTTTAGACTTGATTCCCTGCAGTTAAAGGCTGTTCCTTGGGAGAGGTTTTCTCCAGCCAGAAGGTAACCTGGACATTGGGGGCAAAGTTGGAGCTATTAAAGGGACTCTTATTGATTATCTGAATGTGTTGCCTTTGTGCCACGCCCCGGGTCATCACAACTGGTTTCTCTTTCACTTTAGAGCTGAGCACAGAACAGAAATCAATCACGCCCAGATTCTCCCTTTAAGTTTCAGCTCTCATTGGCTCACCTTGTTACTAAGCTCTATTCCAGTTCATGAATATACTCTGACATAGTCTCCTATTTTTATTTTTTGCCTCCCCCTACAGACGACGGCTGGCCTGAGCCACAGAGGACATCGCTGAGAATGGCTAGAGAGAATTACTTCCTCGCTCCAGGTACACCTGATGGGAATCAACCCGGAGCAGAGCAGCAGGAGGGAAACAAAAGCAAGGCAGTGACCGACGAGCTGGGCCCCCCACAAGGGTTTTTGCAAGCTGCTCCCGAATCCCCTTCCCTCAACACCACGGGGAAGTGCGACGCAGAGGGCCTCAGCCAAAGCTCCCCGCTCGACGCGGGCGAGAATCCTGACCCGGAGGAGAAGCGTTACAAGTGCTGGCATTGCAGCCAGGCTTTTGGCAGCAGCTTGGATCTCTTGGCCCACGAGAGGACCCACGTGGACGAGAAGCTCTACATCTGTTCCCACTGCGGAGAGAAGATGAGAATCCGCGCCGGGCAGGTCTCCCACATCTGCTCCCACTGCGGCAAAAATTTCGGCTGGATTCCCAAAGAGAAGCTCAGCGCCGACCGAGAGAGATGCTTCATGTGTTCGGAGTGCGGGAAGTGCTACACTCGGAGGACGGACTGCCTAAAGCACCAGAAAACCCACGCCGGAGAGAAACTCTTCCTTTGCACGGTCTGCGGGGAAAAGTTTGCATCGTACACCTCCCTCAAAATGCACCAGGTGGCCCATCGAGGGCAAGACACTTTCCAGTGTTTCCACTGTGGGAAAGCTTTCATGTCCAGATCACACATGTTGCTGCACGAACTGATGCACAAGAACAGCTGCTCGTACTGCGGGAAAAGCTTCACCCGAAAATCAGAACTGTGTGAGCATGAGAAAACTCACACCGCCACAGAGTAACCTCCTTTTAACTATAGAAAAAAAAAAAAAACATTTCCTTGAACCTCAGGCAACCAAGCCCCAGTTTGAAGGGCCGGAGAGACACCCGATCCCTCAAAAGCCTTAGAGCTCCCAAGTTTTATTACCCATATATTTTCTTTATTTTCTTTAAAAAAAAAATACAAAAAAAGTAAGAAAACAAGTCAAAACTTTTTACTAGAAAGTCATTCTAAAAGGGCTGTGCGGGGATTCCAAGTTGGAGTGTTTATAAGAGTACGAACACAGCAGTTCTCTGTGATTGTGTAAAGCTGTTTTTGTCTTTTCATAGGATATGATGCCAGCTGGGAGGCAGCCACCTTGTTGCAAGAAAAGGCATAGCTGCTTTGTAGACAGATGCCACATTGGCACTCGAAATTTATTTTTCAAGTGATCAGATCCAGAATTAAACTGTATGGTTCAGCTACTACCTAAACTTGATTGTAATTAAATTTAAAGACAAGTCAAACGGAGCATTTTCATGCTCCCGATGCTATTTTTTTTTTTTTTAGAGAGCACACAAGCACTCCAAGCTTGGCTCAGCCTTAGGATGAAAAAATAAAATTCATAGATGTCATTTTTGTTACAGATTCATAGGGCTGGAACGGATCTTGGTGGTCTTCAACTCTCTGTCCAAGTGATGATTTCATATAAAAAGAAACACCTTTTTGATGTTGCTGTAAAACTCTTCAGTCGGTTTGTGAGCCACATTTAAATGCAAAATGACTAAGATATTTAAAAGTAGGATTTACATGTTCAAAATGTTTGCAGAAAGAGACATCTCTTAGTAAAAGTTTGGCCTCTGATGGCACAGTGTAGTAACGCCTTCATTTATTTGCCCAGAATTGTTTTGTGGAAAAATGAGATGATGGACAGAAGCTGATGCCATGGGTCTCGTGGAACTTGATTGTGTTTTTAAAAAGGAAAAGAAAAAATAAAGCCCAGCAACGCAGCAGGAAGGGGGCATTGTGGGCAGGTTGAAGTGGGAGAAGCCTTCCCCAGCCCAGATCCAGATGTTTTGAAACTACAGTACCCAGAATGCCTAGCAAGAATGTTTCTTAGCCAATGTTAGACAATTCTGAGTTTCCAAGACAGTGGGAACTTTCTTTCTTTCTTTCTTTCTTTCTTTCTTTCTTTCTTTCTTTCTTTCTTTCTTTCTTTCTTTCTTCCTTCCTTCCTTCCTTTCTTTCTTTCTTTCTTTCTTTCTTTCTTTCTTTCTTTCTTTCTT